TTACTTTATAAGATATGTTTTACAACATAAGTTTTTAAGATAAACGAGATTATGAGGTTTGTTGCTAGTTTTGTAAGCACTGCTATTGTTTCGCAGTGGAAGCTATTAAAGTTCCACCACTTATATGGAACCATCAAGCCGTAATAGTCTTAAGGGAAGGAAGAAATATTTTATATAAGTGCAAGGAAGTGCAAGATAAATTATAATATTTGGACAGATGTCCAGAATTAAGAGTTGGTGTTTAAAAGAAGAGTACTATTCAGTAATTAAGTTTGAGTTAAGTAAGTGTTGTTCATGTTAGAATTAAGTGTTATTGCAGTGTTCTGTAAGTTATTGCGTTTTGTGTTTGTATTGTTCTAAACGTTAAAGTTTTATGTGTCATTTAATGTCTTTATTGCTTTGAATCTGTGTGTTCGTAAATAATGGTTCTTAGTCTCGCTCAGTCCGATTTTATTATGCTCTCTTTACATATCAGGTTCGCAACTAGAATAAGTGATTATAGTCACTAGTGGAACATATTTAGACGTTAATGCCTAAGACAAAGGAAGTGATTGATTATATTAGAAAAAATTATTGGTTTTACTTATTTCCAGTTTTGTTTAACTCAGTATAGGCTCAATTATAATTTATTACGCTTAGTGGAGTTGATCGTTTTAATGAATTTGTTTTATTTTATTAAAACATGCAACCTTATAATGAAAACATTCGTTTTAAATTTAGTTTATATACTCAAAGATCAACAAACACAATAATTCTGTTTGTTTACATGCAACCCGAATACCTTCAGCCACAGATAAAAACAAAAGAACAAGTAAACCTATATGAAATTATAAGATAAATATTCAAAAACACATTACAAAAATCAAAACAATTATTAACAATTGCCATCGTTGTGGTAAGCATAATGTGATACACAATTAACCTAATAAAACACAATTACTCAATTCTTTAGACAAAAAGTACAACTATAAATCAGAAGTATTACAACAAACAGCAAAAACAAACATCTAATATAAAGGGGAAACGCGCGCATAATTGTTTAAAGAAAGAAAATAAAAATACATCAGCGTTAAAATAAAATTCAAAATTATCTAGTATAATACCAGATTCTCGTCAGGAAGTGGACATTGTATTGATCCTTATTAAGATTCAATACTCTGGTATTTGACGTTTAGAATGTTTTAATGCTCCTTTCTAGAAACTCCCGTCGGGGTAACATCCTCAAAACAAGCAAATAAAACCCACCTCTACGTCTGCGTCAAAGCCTTCTTATGTTGCAACATTTGAGAGGACATACTACTTCTCAGCCAATTACCCTAACTTAATCCATTTTAAACAAAGTACGCTGATATACTATTTAGAAAATAATTTAAAACACGTTGCGCAAGAAGTAACATTAGAATACAAAAACTTACAAGTTACATTATTCCTGAGTGTTCAAGTACAAATTTGAAACAAGCAAACATAAAATAAAAAACATTTAAGATAAAAGACTTACCATTGAATAAGAATAAGTCTTGATGGATATTTTGCGCAATGTGCTATTGTTTCGCAGTGGAAGCTATTAAAGTTCCACCACTTATATGGAACCATCAGGCTGTAAGGAGGAGGGTAATCAAAAATTGACGTAATTTTATAGGGGGGGGGGGGGGAGTCTCTGGAAATTTGACAAATTGTTGACAAGGGGGAGGGGGAGGTAAATATTTCAAAAAATTTGTTGACGTAATTAATGGGCAGCCCCATTACTCTTTTATACAATGTCATATTAATTATGCTAATATTCCATGGGGTAGTATCCATAAAAGTAAATTAAAGCCACTTTATAGTCAGCAGAAACATATTGCACGTTTTATAAATTTCAAAAATTGTTTTTCTCACTCAAGGACACTCTTATTTAACATGAATGTTTTTAATATATATCAAGTAAATGTTTATAATGTTCTTTGTTTTATGTTTAAATGTAAAACCAACTCATCTCCAGCTTCCTGTTTTGATTTATATTCTTTAAAAGAAAAAAATAAATATTCTTTAAGAAATGATAATTTTATTAAACAACCAAAATTTAAAACAATCTTTGGTAAATTTTGCATTTCTTTTCGTGGAGCTTTTTTATGGAATCAAATAATTTTAAAAAATTATTTGATTCCATAAAAAATTTCTCAAGAATTATTATAATATAATAATTCATGAGAAAAATCAAAATTTTTTAAAATTATTTGATTCCATAAAAAAGCTCCACGTATTGAACATATTATGTTCAAAAGAAAACTAAAAAAAAGTAATTTTCTTAATTGAAAATATATTTATATACTTTTAATTATACCCAGTTTTGTCATCACTCATTTACATTTTACTTTTATACAATATTGATTTAAAGTTTATGGGAGAAACTATATTTAAACACCATTATTTGAATTTTAAAAGTTGCACTGACATTATTTGTACAGTAGTCTATTATTATTTATTTGTTTACTTTAATTTTTATTTTTATTTGTAAAATTTGTAAATAATTTGTCTTACGAAAGGTATATACTTTTAATATTGAATTTAATTTTGTAATAAAAAAAACATATATATATAGATAAAAATAATTTTTTTTTATATAATAATAATAACTATTATTATTATATATATGTATATATATATATATATATATATATATATATATATATATATATATATATATATATATATATATATATATATATATATATATATATATATACATATAATTATAAGTTAACCATCCTTTGACAGTGGTTTAGCATTTTTGTCGGTGGAAGCGTAAACGCACCAACATTTGATAATTTTGGTTTCACACACAGTGACACCATCATTTGGTTTTCTAAATTCTTCTACACAATCTTTTGGACAACCTTGAAGTGCATTTGGATGTACCTAGTGCAATTATATTCTTATTATTTTCGTTTATTTATTAATTAATTAACAATTAAGATCAGTAAATGTAAGTAAATGTACATTTGAGTAACAAGATTTAGTGATCGTATAGAGTAAGATACGAGACGTATTTGTTTATCAAGATATTATTGTTTTCGCTTGAGTCATGCGAAAAATTAGTATTTTAATTCAAGCCATAAATACCATAACTAAAAAAAAAGTTTAAAATTTTTATTTATTTATTTTTTGTTTTTTTTAAAATCTAAATTAAGTTCAAAGTTCTTCAACAGCAGTTCTCGGTGACAAGACCTGTATGGTCTTCTTTGAGTATCCGCGTTCTTTATCTTTATTCTTTATTTTTTAACTGTTTCTTTACATGTAATTTTTCTTATTTGTATTTGTAAATATTGTATTAAATATTGTATTAAATATTGTAATAATAAAAAAATAAAAAAAAAGTAATTTAATCTAAACTACTGCAATTTTGCCTGGGCTAGTACCTACCAATCAAAACTAGATTTAATATATAAAAAACAAAAACAAGCGTGTCGTATATTAACAAACGCAAATAAAAATGCCAATTCTAAACATTTAATGGGGGAACTGAGAGTTCTTAATATCTACGAATAAAATATATATCGCATACTTCAGTTCATGTTTAAACTCAAAAATGATCTGGTCCCTGAAGTCTTTCATAACTATTTTTACCTTATTAATCACAAATATCAAACAAAATACTCTAATCAAGAACTACTATATTCCGAAAATCTCTTTAAGACAATCTAAATTCTTAATATCCAGCAGAGGACCCCAATTGTGGAACTCATTTCTAACAAACAAAATAAAAACGATAAACTCATTCCAACATTTTAAATGCGTTGTAAAGCAACAGCTACTAGACCTCAACATTAATGAAACAATCTTTTATTTTTAAAATTTTTCCTTTTTCAATTTAATTGTTTTTTTCTTTCACTTTTTCTTGAAATTCTTTTATATTACTTGCTTGGTTATTTAATGAAGTTCATTGTAAATTCACTTCGTAACTTCACTTTTTCTTGAAATTCTTTTATAATACTTGCTTGGTTATTTAATGAAGTTTATTGTAAAAAAAAAAAAAAAAAATCACATGTATTATAAATATTTTATTATATTTGTATTTGGTTTATATTTTATTATATTTTGTTAACGACAAAAATTGGGCAAGATGATAAGACTATTGTCTTCTACTTGCTCCAGTCATATATTTCACGGTAAAATGTTGTACAAATTTATATTAATAATGACGAAAAATTTATATTAATAATGACAATGTTAGATATTTATTTATATAAATATAAATAAATATCTAACATTGGCCCCTAACATATTTGGGATTTGTAGAAAAATCATTCTGTCCCTCTCCTACTTCGGAGCGGTCCTGGCAAGGAGTCTTTTTGATATAGGGTAGCTACATAAAATTTTCATAAGGAAAAGAGGATATTAGAAGATTTTAGAGGATATATTGCATCTAATTTAGAGGATTTTTTTTAGCAAAACCATAGAATATATATATTTAGATTTAGAGGATAGGTTTCCCATGTTTCCACACTTGTCGAGTTTGAACATGGGTCGATAATGCCATATTTATCTTAAATGATATAGGTTTGCTAAAACAACTTTTTACAATCCAATACCTTAATAGACGTTACCTAGTTTGGCAGACCAAGAATTTTTAACATTATACGACCTTGAAGAAATAAAAATTAAAAAAAAAAAGAGGAGTTAAAAGGAGATTTGGTAAGTTTTTAACTTACCAAATCTCCTTTTACCCCCTATTTTGTTGACATAATTAATGGACAACCCCAAAATAAAAATAAAGGTTGCAGAAGCAATAAGGTTCTAAATATTGAATATAGCTGACTAAAAAGACAGAAAATTGCCGCTGTTAAGGTGTAGCTATAGAAGCTAAAAAGATCGCACTTTAAAAAAAAAGAATTTAACTTGTATTTAAATGCTATATATTTTCCAGATCTAGAAAAAAATTCAAATGAAATAAAAAACATAATTTTAATTAGTTTTTGAACCTGTGAGCCACCTCAAAACTATAAAACTAAAATTATACCTTTAAAATAAATAATTTTAATCTAGGTCATAATGTGAAGGTACAAACGGGTAAATACATATAAAAGCCGATGTTACTCTAAAATAATCTCTTAACCTTCCCACCAAAAATAAAAAACACGATCTATAAGTTAATTGAGCTAATATATCATACAAATTACGAAGTAGTAAATCATGGTCAAAAGATCAACTTGATTTTTTTACTCGTAAAACATTTGCGAAATTTTTGCATCAGCATTTTAAATTTAAAAATTATTTACAATGTGAAAATATCACTAAGATGATTTAAGCATAAATTGACTACGGATAAGCGAGTCAAACTAATCACACTTTTAAGTGGCAGAACTTTCAAGTCTTTGTTTAAACAACTTCGTATTTGTCTACCATTAAAGAGCGCTCTTGCGTGAATTTTACAAGTGATTTACTTTCACATTGGCGAATTTCTTTGATCTAAAAAAAATATATATATATAAAATTTTTACCTCATATTATTCCTTAATTTGAAAATATAAATTTTACATATATATATATATATATATATATATATATATATATATATATATATATATATATATATATATATATATATATGTTACTGTAATAAATATTATATACCTGTAGGTCACACAAGGTTTTAGTCGAGTAAAATGATACATTAACAGGAAAAAAATCATCAGGATGACTAGGCATTGAGAACTCTAAACTACCATTTGGATTTGAGGCATCAATAACAGGTAACTTCCATTCTAAAACTCCTTTCTTTGCATCAAAATGATATTCTCCATCAATTTCTCCTATATTAGGTGCGCCAACACCAGAACTAAATTTAAAGAAAAACAAATCCTAATGTCAAATTGATCAAAAAAAAATTATTCCTGTCAGAAATGTCAACTTTGTCAGAAAAGTAATAATAAAAATCTGTAAAACATTAGGTAAATGTGACCACAGGAAACCAGTTTTTGAAGTGAGAAAACAGGATGGTTTTAAATAATTTTAAAAAGAAAATCTTGTCTTATTATTGTTATATTATAAGAGGTATATAACAATATAGACTTGAGATGAGAGACAAGATAAATTAAGATGAGAGACAAGATGAGATAAGTACTGATACCAAGATGACTTAAGATGAGAGACAAGATAGTTAAAGTATCGTTCGATTAAATTCAAACTGCATGCTCATATCTTCTTTAAATTTAAAACGAGTGGATTGTGCCATATAAGCCATATATAGTATCAGTAGTGTTTGTAAATTTATAAAGTGCTTAAATGTTATGTAAAAACCTCATAATTGTACAAAATCCCATCAATTCATTTTTCATTTAATTTTTTTTTCCTTTATTTTGGTTTTTTACCTGCAATTTGCTAAAAAACACAACAGGAAATTTAAAAACTGATAAAGTTCTTTACGATTTACAAAAAATTTTTAAATAAAAAGTGTGATTTTATTATACATTTTCTAAATATTTTTGTAGTGGTAAACTTTGACATTCATAATGCAAATATTAAAGATAAAAAATCTTTTTCTTCCTTTAAGATTTTCCTAGAACAAATATATCTTAATATTTTTTATAATTATAGCATTGTTTTCAACCGATAAAAACATAATTAATAAACAATAAATAATACATACGGTACAGGTACAGATATAGTGACATCATTTAATTCCAGTCCTTTTGACTGAAGTTCATATTCAATTGTCACATCACATGCACCATCGTTTTGATTAGGCCAGCAGTTTACTAAACAAGTATTACCAATATAAATTGTTATTTAAAACAAACCTTCAAAAAAAAACAATAAACAGGTAACAATAATAATTAGAAATCGTAACAAACCTTCAAAAACAAATGTTTTTTTTTTTAAATTGGGAAATTTCTTGAACCAGTTTTAATTTAATATAATTATACTTTTTTAGTATATACAGACATACTTGTGAGAGGAATTTGGTCTTCATCTTTGGTTTGCAGCCTCCATTTCAAAACACCGATTTCATTGTTAAGAGGAAAACCTTTTCCTCCTTGCTTTAATCCAATGATACCATCTTGGGTAAATAGTTTTTTATCAACATTAGGATGAGTCTAAAAACAGATTGATATTTAAAAAAAAAGATATTAAAAGCATTAGACTAGTAATGGGTGTAAATACTAATAATTTTTTTTATTCACAGAAAAAAAGAATATACCAAATAGTTGGAAAAATACTCAATTATTTTTCATAAAAATTGCAAGCCAGAACTATTTTTATAAAAACAATGTTTCTACTTACCGACACAAATGTAGATTATTTAGATATATGTGTTTAGGGGTCGTTCGCAAATTACGTCACGCTTTTAGGGGGAGAGTCATAGATTTTGTGACTAGCTGTGACAAGAAACATTACTTATAATATATATTTTGTGACAAGGGGGGGGGGGGGGCAAATGACCCCTTACGTTCTTAGGCAAGAATTTTGCAGTAAGCAAAAGTAATTGTAAATAATTTCAACTTTTTACCACTTTTATAAAACTGTTAAACAACACATTAATACGACTATTTATCTCAAAATAAATAACAAATCGAAACATTTAGTGCGAAAAGTGAACAAATATTGGCAATTATAGTTTACCTGCATTTGAAAATCTTTAGAAGAATTATTATCGACTACAATCTCAATTTTTGCAAATCCTGCATCTGTGATGCGAAGCATGATTAAACCACGAACCTCCATATTTTGTAAACCTCCATGTCGTCCAGCAGTGAGAGTAATCTTCTCCTCAAACTTTAAATGGACACTAAATGCAGTAACAAATTCTAATAAATTTGAAATTTGTATATTAGGCACATTTATTCCTTTAAAACTCCATATGTACAATTTTAATACCTTGATTGAGGGGTGTTTACTACAGGTGGAATAGCCTTTGATGTGGGTTTCAATGCTGCTGCAGTGCTGACCTCTAAATATATTTAAAAACACAATATAAAAATTTAAAATCTATGAATTATTGATAAATATAAAAATAAGGATGTATTGAATTAAATTAAATATAAAAAAAAAGATGATAAGCAGTGCGTGAAAAATCATTTTTTTTTTTAAATAAACCTTGACCTTCGTAATTTTATTTATTGACGAATGTCTTATTCAAGAGAAACATGTCCAAAAAAGGAAATTTTATTTTCAAACAATTTTTATTCTAGTTAATAAGTTATTAGATATATCAAAGATGTTTATGGAATTTAATCAATTTTTGTTTTTGCAAAAAAAAAATTTTATAAATAGAATTTTTATGTTTATTACAGTTTTAAAAAATAAAAAATATAATAAACATAAAAATTCTATATATTCCATTAGATGATAAATACTTCATCAAAACTTAAAATTATATTTCAAAACTTATAAAAGTGTTTTTAATATGCAAACAAACATTATGTCACTTTAAGGAAAATTAAAATTTTCTTTAAAAAAGCATGCTATAGGAGCAATCATATTTAAGCATGGTTTCTATTAAAGTAATTGCAAAAAGCAATCATTTTTAGTGAATATTTACATGCTTTTGAAAACGCATGCAAAAACCATTTTAAAGCAAAGTTTTTTACTTCAATAGCACACTTATTTTATTTAAAAGTAAAGTAATCATGTTTTAGCGTGATTTATTTTTAAGTCTTTGAAAATGCGTTTTAAATTTTAATAACTAATTGTTTTTTACTACAAATATGTGTTTTATATGTAATAATTATTTAGAAAAAAATTGTTGAAGTGTTTGTTTTGAAAAATTTTGAGCAAACGCCAATGTTTGCATAAAAGTAAAGAAACGTAACGTTAGTTTTTCTGACTTTTTTTAACAAACATTTACACTTTCGTCAAATTGTCACGCCTTGATAGGATGTAATTATACTCAATTGCATAATTAAATAAAACAAAATTAAAACTATACTCAAAACAATTAAACATTTTTTCAAGATGCAAAAAATCAATTCAAGATGGTAACTTTTCGTTGAAAAGAGACCATTTATTAATTAATCTTTTTCCTATTACTTAAGTTTTTAAAATTAAAACAAAACAAAAAAAAGAACATCAATTAAAAGGATTAATGTACATAACTTACCAGTTCCTTCTTCTCTTAACTTATCAACAAACACGTCTATATCTTTGTTTTTACCACCTAACTTCATTGCCTTTCCTTTGCCAGTAGGTCTACAAAAATAAAAAACATAAAAAAAAAAAAAACTAAAAATAATTAATAATTAAGTAAAAGAAATTACTTTAATGGGCTATAAATATGTTTAATATTTTAATGCAATATAATTATGACAACTATTTCGATAAGTCGTAATTATGTTGGTATCAATAAACTCAATAATTATGCTAAGGAGCTATAACTAACCTTGAATTAAAGGTTTGCTTGGGAGCACTTATTTCTTGAGGCTGCGCAAGATCGCCAACTGTTGGAACATTATCAGTTCGTTGAGGTTGCTGATTAACAGTGTTTCCTCCAGCAAACCCAGACAAAAATGTACGACTTTTTCCAGCAGAAACACGAGCAGCTTGAAGTTCCTTAGCTTTCCTCTTCATTTGTTCTTTAGCCTCAAGTTCTTGAGTCTATTAGATGAGATAAGATTAGAATTAAAAAAAAGTCTTATTAAAAAATTATTTTTAATAGTAAACTATTAAAAACAAAAAATATATTCTAAAAAAATATATATTAAAAAAAAGAGATGTTTTTTTAATTCTAATTTATGCATTAACTTATCTAAGATTTATTTTGACTTTTTGAGACTTAACCTCAAATTTATTTTCCAAATTTGTTAACTAAAGTTTTTTTTTGATCTTCTATGGAACTAATTTTTTTAGTGTAGAAGTATTAACTAATTTAAATTAAAACAGTACCTGGGTTAAAAGCACATTAAACAGTTGCTTAGAAATGCACTCAGATCACAACAGTGTTGTGGAGAATTATTTAGTGTCACAGCTAATCATTCATCTCACACAGATAAATGTAACTCCCAATTAGCATGGCTCAATTCATCATTGTGCATTGTTCAAATTTTTTTATACTATTTATTTATTTATTGGACGAATGAATGTGTATATATATTTTTTCCTTTTTTTTTTTTTTTTTTTTGAAAGATGTGTGTGTGTGTGAGAGGGAGGCGGAGTGTGAATGGGAATTGACTGCATACTATTCTCCATCTTAGAACTTTGAAAACCAAATATCATTAAACAAGACCACTATGTGGAAAAACAAAGGTACTGTACTACAAGGACTTGTTATAGATCTTGACAGATTTTTATAAGACAAATTTTTAATCACTACCTACTTCTATGTGACATCAATTAGGAGCAAGAAAAACAAAAAAATAGAACTTGAATTCAATTATGTTTTCATAAAAATTTTATTATTTCAGATTTTGTTGCGTAACGGAAAAGCCTAACGCAAGTTAATATAACTTTATTCAACATACATATTTAAATTGTTAAAAATTAAAACACATCAATTGTATGTTAAAGTTACGTATTGTAGTTAAATTCAATTTGAAACCACATTAAAAATCATTTAAATTCTAAGTATCTTTAAATCAAACAATATTGTTATATATAAAAAAAAATTATCAATGAAATTTAAATGATTAAAAAAAAAAAAATTACTTATTCAAAAAAAACTTAATTTATTTTATGAAACATTCATAACAATTCATCATTTCAAACACTTCAACAATTCATATGCTGATCTTCTCCATAAGCTTTCTTCTTACGGTGTATCAGGTAACATCTTTTTTTGATTATTGAAGGTTCAATCCTTAGCCCTATACTCTTTTTAATTTACATTAATGATCTTCCAGATATTCTCACATCTAAGGTGGCGTTCGCTGATGATATTACTATTTATTGTTGCCTTGATAAGAAGCCAATACTCTCTGATTGCTTGGAGGGGGCATTTGAGCCTGAAAGGAATCTCACTTCTTCTACAGCTGGTGAACTTTAACTCAGATTTTTTCAGCTAATTATTGCAATAATCTAGATCTTCCTATATTTATGAACGGTAATGTACTCAATGAGACATCTACTCTTTATCTAATAGTGGTTGCTTGCAGCCTTGTTGATTGTAAAGATGTTGGAAAAAATATATATATAATTCTTATTATTGTTTGCTTTCTAACTATTTACTTGTTTGTTTGTTTAAATGAGGGGGCAGTTGTTTATGGGTAAATTTCTTAGAAGTTAGAAAAAAAAAAATTCAAGCCAATAAACACTTTAGTCATTTAACCTTTTACTTCAAAAATTTTAATAGAAAAAATTAAGAAAATAATTGCACTCAGATCACAACGGTGTTGTGGAGAATTATTTAGTGTCACTGCTAAACATTTATCTCACATAGATAAATGTAACTCCCAATTAGCATGGCTCAGTTCATCATTGTGCTTAAATTTCTATAAATTATTTGTATAAGAACTGCATGACAAAGAAAAATGACAATCAGAAAAATTATTTACTAAAAAGCTGAACTTAAATTAAGTTATGCTTTTATATAACTATATTTGTTGTTTATTATTATCAAAATACTATTGTTATGTTATTATCAAAAAAATACTTGACAAACACAAAGAAAACAACTAAAAAACATGAGAAAAACAACTTTACTTCTATTTTATTTTAATAGTATTACAACTTTTAATTCTTCATTACAAATTTAATTTGTATTTTTATTTTGCTGTTAAAATCATGCAACCACTGTTGCATGACTTTAACAGTACATGAATCACATGTAACTGTTGCATGACTCATATTACATATGTTAAATTATTATTAGTGTTGACTGTACATATTGTCATATGCACAGTCAACACTAATAATGTTCTCTTAAAACTATATAAAAGATAAGAAATGTTTAATAACTATTTAATTTTATTTTATTAAAAAACAAATTTCTATAACGAAAAAAATGTCATCATTTTTTAAAGTCTTCTTTACTTCAGCCATTTAATTTTTTGCTTCAAAAATTTAAATAAAAAAGATGAAAGAATTATTATTTATTATCTATATATAAATTATTATTTACATATATTATTAATATAAGAACTGTAAAACAGAGAAGAATGCATTCACAAACAGAAAAATTACTTGCTAAAAAAACTTAACTTGAAAATTTTAAGATGGAATTAATTGCACTCAGATCACAACAATGTTGTGGAGAATTATTTAGTGTCACAGCTAGACATTTATCTCACATAGATAAATGTAACTCCCAATTAGCATGGCTCAGTTCATCATTGTGCTTAAATTTATATTATTTATATAAGAATTGCATGACAAAAAAATTTAATGTATTCACAACTAAAAAAATAAATCGTTAAAAAAGAACTTTAACTTAGTTATGCTTTTACAATACTATATTTGTTATGTTCTCTTAATCTCTTTAAACTATATATGTTCTCTTAAAACTATATTAAAAATAAGAAATGTTTAATAAATACTTAAATTTATTTGATTAAAAAACAAATTTCTATAATGACAAAATATATCATACATTTTTAAAGCATTTAATTACTTCAGCCATTTAACTTTTTGCTTTAAAAATTTAAATAGAAAATATAAAAAAATGAATCACAAATGTTTTATATTTTTATGTGTTAAGTGTTAACTGTATATATTTTTAATACTTACACTAAAAAACTATAAGGGCAATCAAGGGCTTAAATTTACCACTGGACATAGTCTGAAACTTTTCCAGCAGAAACAAGTAAAAAAAAAACACGCTATTATCAATTATATGTAAAAACTTTACTAAGTTAAAAAATAACAAATGCTATTTCTTAACATAGATGTTTTTGAATTATCAATTAAGAAAACTTAACTAATCAAGTAAACTTTGCTTGATAATTAATGCAGCCAGAATATTGCTGTGTATTTGCTTAACTACAATTGCTCACAGTTGCTCAACTCAAATCTTATTTTAGGAACCACTCTGCCTTTTCCCCTTCTTTCGATCCTTCAAAAAAAAATTCATAAATCAAAAATTTTGTTTCAGTCAAGTATTACATTTTTTTAAAGACATTATTAAACTCTAAAAGCTGCAAATAAGCAATTGCATTAAAAAAAAATTGCTATTATGCCATAACACTAATTTTATGTCACACCATAACTCTTGGCAAATCAGCATAACTATAGCAACACTCTCACTAAGCCCTCTCTTTCACTACTGATCTCTCATAGAATCCATATATTCAAACCATTGCAAAGTTAGTATCTCCTAAAATTGCTTCTCTTTTTCACACATTTTCAAACTCCAGATGTCATTCTCTACATCTATAAATCTTCTATCTTGTATTGAATACTGTGGTCAAATTTGGGGAGGTTCTTTTAGTAATGTCCTTTCTCTTTAAGACAAGGCATTGTAAATAAAGTTAAGTCTGATTTAGCTGTCAAGCTTGATCTTCTTTCTCATCATCGTAAAGTTGCATCTTTTTCAATAAATAATATCATGAACGCTGTTGAAGCAGCTAACATTTCTTGTTTCATCAACTGAAACTCAATACCATGTAATTGGTTATTCAGTCAAAATGATCTATTTACTGTAGCAGTTTCTCCACTTTAAAAACATTGATCCTTCAAAATTTTCTCCTGTCCATATTATTCTAAATCATACAATTTACAGCTTTTTCAAGCCTTCTTGTTTTTTTCCACTGTCTTTTGTCAACCATTGTCTTGCTCTTTAATTCCTCTATACTTTCTAATAACACCCAACTTAGGCAAATATCCAGCAAAAACACAACTTAATAATAATTTAAAAATATATAAACAAACAAACAAAAACTCATTTTAGATTACTTTAGATAAGTTAAGAAAAAAATATAAAATATTCTTTGTTATCCTCTAATTTCTTAATAATTGGCTATTAATAACATGACATTATTCATCAATTAACAATTTAAAGTGTTTAAGTATTGAAAAGTACCTTTCTAACTGCCATAATTACTCTCTCTTCATGACTATCCATTTCAATAAATGTTCGAATCTGTGCCAAATTAACGTTTTCCCTATATCCGAGAGCAACTATTTCATCAAACGCAAAAATGAGATGAAATGAGTTTTCTAATATATCATTTTCCTCTAAAACGCGACAGTACTCTGGTACCTAAACAAAATTAATATACAATTTAAATACTGCCAAACTATGATATCTAAACAAGAGTAAATGAATTTTTATTAGATGGTATTGCTAAAAATAAAACAAGCATTGAAATATTTAAGATAATTTTGTTACACCTAATGACTATCCTGATATAAATTGGCAACTTATGAAACTTAACTAAATAATTTAAACCAGATTTAATTTTTAATATGTAAAAAATAACTTTAACATAAATTTGTTTTGTTAAATGTTAAAACATACCATCAAAATCATATAGAAATATAATTCCTTTTAAGGCAACTAAAATTGTAAATTTGATTTAAATTACAAATCAAAGAAATTTAAAACATGTAAGATATAAGAAAATTGTAGCAATGTCTTTATATGGTTGGAGCAGTATGCATAATAGACATTTTGGTAAACACCTCACACAACTGAAGAATTAATAGGATTGAGAAAGCATAAAAATGTAAAAAAGTATGTAAAGTTGGTTTAGGAATGGTGAAGAACACAATTGTCAATTCTTTTTTGCATGTAATTTAACTAGAAAATAATTCAATAAAAATATCTAAATCTTCACTTCTGATCAAAGCTCAACCTCAAAAAATCTTTTTTGAAATACAATAGCTTCAAATAAGAATAAAAAATATCTAAAAAAAATTTTGAAAAAAAAGTTTTAAAAACCTTAAACTCAAGTTATAAACTTTATGTTATATTTGAGTTTTCCCTTCTGCAATTTATTTTTAACAACAATTTGTGAAAAGAAGCTTTAAATAAAATTCAAGTCAATAATAGTTACTTATATTTAACCTATAAAAAATAAGTTTTAAACAACTTCTTGATTTGAAAAAATAAAATAATATAGAGTATATAAATAAGAAACTTATTGACACAAATGAATCAGAAAGTTTATTTATAAATTGAAAAATAATTATAACAAGTATAAAAAATGATTAATAATTAATAGTTAATATTAAATAAAACTAATAATTAGTAAAGCATGATAATAACATATTATTTAAGATTATATTTTAATAATTAATTAAAAAAAAAAATTACAAGTAAACAAATATACTTACTACTCTAGCAAATAATCTGAGAGTTTCTAAATCTTCTAAAATATTACTTGTTTTAGTTGTTATAAGTAGCATAAAGAGCTTGTCTAATGGTTGATAAACATATCTTACACTCTCAGTTTCAACAAAAGTGTGTTGCTGTTCTGTATTCATTAACTTAGGAAATGCAGAGAGAAGGCCTTCTATCCGAGAGCGTGACATTTCAACAAATTGACGTGAAAGTAAAGCTATGGTTAAAACATATTGTTTTATATTAAATTTATTTTATGATGCCATAAATTGCATTTAAAACTTCTTTAAAAATAAACAATATTAATTTTAAAAAATTTTAAATATTTTTTTAAAACATACATATATCTCGTACCTTTTCCATTTTTAGTACAAATAGCAGCTGCCAAGAGTACCTGTAATAAAAGCAAACTAATAATTGCTTGTAAAATCTTTTTTGACACTGTTTACCTTTTTTTTTAAAAAAAACAAACAAAAACAAACAAAAAACGATTAGATTGCTTTGAATCTTGGTCCCAATATTAGATAAAGGAAATATCAATTTCTGTTGTTATGTAGCTATAAGTAGTCCAGTTTTTCATCAATTTCTCAAAATCAATTTTCTCAGACTTAACACCTTTAAAAAATTTATTCTCACAAAATAATTTTGAAATAACAAAAAGAAATATATGAAATGAGACGATGGAAGTTAAACTGATTAAATATTTTATGATTATAAGTATTTTATGAAAATAAGCAAATAAGGTATGAAAAATTATATGAAAAAAAAGGATTTAAAATTCAATATGCTCAATAAGTTCTTGTAATAAGTCTTGTAAAAACAATTTATGCTCATTCATTTCATTCATTTTCATTTTTTTTTGATGCAAAACAAGAACAAGTTTTATATAAACAAATCTTATTTTACTTTTCATAACTTAATTACCTTTTTTTTATAATTTAATTTAGATTTTCATGATTTGTAAGCTTAACTTGAGTCAAAAACTTTCCTTGGAATGTTTGACTTTTAATTTTAAATATTATTGAACAAAAAAGTTGTTTAAATTTAACATAAAACTTAGTAAAATAATTTTTTGTATAGAAACTTATGATTTGATTACTAAATTTAATTTATCATTATATTTAAAAATTGCTTCATCAAAAAAAAAAAAAAAAAGAGTCACTAAACTTTTGTCTGACATTGTTTTATGCTATTTTTATATTACATTATCCTTGGTTCAATAAAGTATTCCAAGTAAAAATAGTTTAATAAAAATAATTAAATATATTACAAATTTGTACATTATTTTATTACTTTTCATCGAGTAAAATATAATAGCCACAAAGATTTTTTTTTCAATAACAGTGATTGGGTATATTGATATATTTAAATAAATTTTACGTGGTATAACTGTCTTGAAGATTAGTCATTATTTTTAAAATTACTGACAAGTATTCTTCATACATGCATTCCTAACAAATGTATACTATTTATACACATGCACAAACTTGCGTATATTTTTATATTAGCATATTTCACTTGTATATTCGTCTCGTAATTTTTTCATAAATATAATTCATTTAATTTTATTTAACATTAATCCTATCTAATGTACAGCAGGTTTTTTCTTCAAAAAGGGAAGGATATTTTTGCCTACCATTTTTGCGGCCGATGGCCTCCAAAAACCACTTTAAAATTACAATGTGCTTTTTCATGCACTACGTATTTAATGTATATGATATGTGAGATCACATCGTTCAGATCATGTTGATCAACATAGTCGGGCTATAAACCTCCGCCACGTTTACAATATAGGGCATATCAGTAATGACAAGAGAATAAAATCTCAAAACTGGTTTCCAGCTTCTTGAAATTACGTAATACGGCAACAAGGACTGATGCCGTATAGCGAACTGTACTGTAAATACTTTAAAATATGGCGAAAGACACGAGGCCGCAGGAGAAAAATAAAGTTGGCAGCGCGGAAATTCATTTTGCAAAGAAATTAGCAAACAACGATAAAAAGATTCGAGATCGAGCTTTTGTTAAATTAAAATCATGGTTGCTTGCAAAAGAAAAAACTAATGATGGTAAAAATTATATTAGTTTTTTAAATTACGTGTATTTTATATTAGTTGACAATTTCATAATAACATACAATTACTATACACAATTGGAAATAGTTGGAAATCAGTATAATCAGGCATAATAAATAAAGAGGAAAATTTATTGAACCACTTTTTTCATTCAAAATGCTTTAAGTTTATTGTAATGATTTAAAAAATACATTATACTAATTCAAAATCATATTAAAGTATATGCCTGCAAAGGAAAAGTACTCTAATTTGGTTTTAAAGATTACACTAAAAATGCTAATATTCCACCATTTTTTAAAAAAACATTTTAACACTGTTTTTATTTAAAAATCGATAACTTAAAAATTATATTTTTAATTATGTGACCTGGTTTTTATTGCCATCAAAATTTAAACATTTAAATTTAATGTATTGTGATGTGTGCATACATTGACTGACAAATAGGGATTGGTGTAAATAAATGTACATGGTTTGGGTTAGGGTAAGGGTCAAAGATCAATCAGAAATACATTTTGCATTTTTAAACAGGTTTGCTTTAAAGTGTCAATAGAAAGCATGTTTTTTTAAAGTTATTATTAAAAAGAAATGTAGCCATAATCCAGTATGAAAAAGATAGCAAATATTAGCATTTTTGATTTTTTATACTTTAACATCAAATTAGAGTACTTTTAATTAGAGTAAATTATTTTTTTATTTATGCATATATTTGCTAATTTTTGTAATGACTCGGCCAAGTATTTGTCTATCTGATATTAATTTAAATAAAAAAATACTAGTGATAAATAGTTGTTTTAGTTTAAAAAATGGTCACAATCTTTTTGGGTTAACAATTAATCATTTTTGAGCGGTTAATCCTGATCAAAAATATTGGGATCTTATCTAAAGTGTTTGATGCAGCTATCCTGATAAACAGTTCTTTTCTGTGTTTTTTGCCTAAACATCATTTATCTTCTATTGAAAAATTTTTGATGACAATATATAGTAGAAGAAGCCGAATTGATATGTATTGAAAATATTCTTTAGTTAGTATCTAGCTAACATTTTTGATAAGGAAATGCCATCCCAAATTCATGAGCTTTCTCCAAAACAAGGATCATTGATTTGCTCCATATAGATTTGAACTATTTCAATAAACTCTAATTTAACTCATTTTATTTCTTGTTTTGACACAACGTTTTAATGACGAATTTTCAAAAGCATCAAAGATCTTTTTTTATTTTGTTCTCCCAAAAGACTAGTATTGTAGCTATTGGAAAAGCTAAATTAATTTGCATCTTTATTATGTATACACATTTCTTACTCTTTAACATGTTGTACTTTACTTTCTAAGTAACCTAATTATACATATCTTTTCAGGATTTTTTGTTTGTGTCTGCCAAAAGCAAAAAAAAATCAAAATTTGAAATATTTTTACAGATAAAACAATTATTTACATATATTGTCTTCTTTTATACTTATTTTCATTTTCATATCATAAGTGTAAAAAAGTATATATATGCTTTATAGTATTAAATATTTATAAAAAAACTTATTTGATGGTTTCAACGATCTTGTAACTTTTTCAATCGTCTTTTTAATTGGCGACTGTTTAAAAAAACACTATATATTGTATAGAAAGTTTTTAAATACTTAAGTATTTTAAAAACTGAAAGTTTTGAAATACTTTTAAAAAAAAAATTCAAAATAGTTGTTTGTATTTTTGTTTATCTAATTTAATCTTCTACTTTTTATCATTAATTATACTTATGTGTAAATTTTAGATAAATTTATATTAATTTAAAATTTCATTAATGTTTACGACTTTAAAATGATATCAGGAATAAGTAATAAAACTTTTAAAACGTTAAAAAGAATGTTTGTCTAAAGTACTTTTGTTGCAATATGCCATTTTAAAATTAATTTAAATAAGCAACAAAGGTATTTAAGCTTAACAAAAGCATTTAAAGATTGCTCTTAATTAAGCATTAATAATTTTGATTAATTAAGTGTTTAATTAACTAAGCGTTAATTAATAGAGCGTTTATAATTGAAATTAAAAGTAGTCCATTGACTAAAAAATTGTATATTATGTATATGACTATTTTAGGAAATAAATAACAGTGCTGTAAATAATGGCCGATCAATTATAGTTTATTTTTGCAAAAAATGATGTTTTGATCTCCCAATATCAATTCTGGCTGATCAAATTTGATTGGCAAGAATGACGAGGCTAACTTGATTATAAAAAATTTATATTTCTCAAAAAACAAAAATTTGAAATTATTAGGTTGGCAACTAAATGTTATTATTGGAATAAAAATAGTTTATAAATAGCCCATAACAATCTTTAATTTACATTATGAAAAGGAGCAAAATTTTTATTGAATAAAGGTAATTCCATGTCAATTGAGCCAGGCCATGTCACCATACATCTCAGATTTTGCTGATTTTTATACAGTTATGAGTACTTAGTAAAATAAGAAATCCTTAAAAATTTTAGCTTTTAGCTCCAAGAGGATCATGAAATATGTTCATTTTACTTTTAACTGATCTTGGCCGGGCCCCTTTTGTCCCCTCAGAATTGTGACCTTTGTTTAAAGGTTCCAAGTCACATAGCTTTAAAAATATTTGATCTTTTGACTTAAAAATTTGTACCTGGCTATTTTCAGGTTGAAGAACCCAATAAAATAATCAGAAATGTGGCCTTGATGATATAAAAAAAAATTGTACACATTATTCTATGTTTAATAATCTTTCAGAAAACATAAGGATATTGATCTGCAAGTATATGGATTTCCATATATGGATAATGGGGCACAGGTCCCACTATTTTGTAGCGGAATCTTGCCATACATTTTTCACTACCTTTCAGACTAGCTGGAGCAATGAAAATTTTGGTATTAATGTAGTGTCAATAAATGTGCATTTTAAAATTAAAAAGGGGCCCAAGACACTGGGGAGGGGGCTGGAGGGATGTGCCCCACTTTTTTTACCAGAATCTTGAACGGAAGATGGATTTTTCAGTATCTTCCAGGCAAACTGGAGCTTTGTAACTTTTATCATTTGTGTAATCCTGATGAACATGCGTTAAAATTGTTTCAGGTCAGAGACCAGAAGGTCCATGGGGCTGGGGCACCGGGGACCATGTCCCACTTATTTTCTCAAAAAAAAAGTTTTTTTTTTTATAAACACATAAATGTGTCTTAAACTTAAGATAACTTTGAAAATATTGTATTCAAAAATTTTATTACTTTATACTTGTTCCGTTTTACTGCATTATTTACAAAATAAAATACAAAAAAAAAAGAAACTGTCAAGATAATGTTAAGATTAGCTTAGATGCATTGACGGTCAAAGAATACAAACTGTTGTTGTTACAGGTGCATCAATTATACAAGTTATGTTTTTAATTGGGACCCAACACTCATCTACTCTAGATGGCTAGAAAAGTTTATTAAAAGAACTGTGCGGGTGCATAAACATTACCATAACATCTTGCTCTATATTATCAATTTCATTGATCATACAAATCCAATCAAACCCATCATATTTACACATAATGAATTTACCAAATTTCAAGGCATCAGTTTTAATTTGTTGATCATTTTGAGAACTTTGAATACCAGAAGAAGAAAAAATGCCTGTTATGAACATCTTCATTTGTTCGTTTTAAACCAGAATCTATAGATTCTGGTTTAAATTGATGATAGCTCCTAGTTCCAGGAATTGTTCCACTTAGCTCAAAACGTGTTTTTAAAATGGTGCGCAATTCTGTCAGTCTTTCTTTTTCAATCTTGAAAAAAATAATCCCTTTAATATTGTTAATACAGTAGTCAAACATTTTGTTACAATTCAATATCTGGTCATTTATGGGTCTTTGTAGACTTGCATTTGTAGTTAGTTGTTTTACAGTGCCACCAATGCCATCACATGATGACTTATCATGATTTGTAGCAAAAAATGTCCACTCGGCATCAATGTCAAAATCATTTTTATGGAGACAGATATTGTAAAGGTTTTTTTGTTTTTTATACTCTACAGCACAGCCATCAGAAAAATAAAGAATCTTTGAAATTTTAGGATAATATTCTTTTAAATAGTTAACTATTTGTGTTTGAACTTCATACACAAAACCAGTGTCATGCTCATTATCTTTTGACAAAACAAAACAATTTTTCTTCAAGTTGGTCATTTTCGTTGAATAAATGGGGTGCAATGTGCATTGACTTTTGCACCAATGGTAACTTTATATTTCATCTTAAATCACAAAAGTGAAGTTTTCTGCAAAGTTACCACAGACGTAAAGTCACAAAGACAATACAGCAGTCTTTTGCTAAATTTTCCTTTTGCTGTTTTAGGTATCTTGCTTGACATTTTGCAATGTAGGAATGAGCTGTTAACTTGTTTATTGCCTCTGATAACATCAATGTGTATTCTTCAATTGTTGTTGTTTGATAGATCAATATTGTTCTGTCTGTTTTCTGCCATTGATTGAATGATACCTCCTCGTCATTTTCATTGTCAATTAGTTGTGTATCCAAAAACTTCTTTAAAGAAACTATACCTGGACAGTTCAGACATCGATCCACTCGTTACTTGTCACATCACAAACAACTTTTGTCATCAGATCTTTGTAAGTACATTTTATTTGTATAGCATTGATCAAGAGTATTGCATTTTGATGGAGGGTACATGCACAAACAGAATAAGTGCCTGATGCTCCAACAGTTATACACCATGTTGGTCTGCAAAACTTAGAAAATCCAATAACTTCTTGAGGATATTTAGTTTTGAAAGAAACATAAAGTTCTTTAAGATTACATAAAATAAGGCGCTTTTGCATGTGTTATTTTCTACCAATACTTATGTAATCTTTTTTACCAGGTATTTGTTTGTAAATTCTTCATCATGTTATATATTGTTGACTCTATTTAATGTTATTTCTGAAAATATTTTTCCTTTCTTAGTGCCTGAAACTGAAAAAATCCCATGTATTTTCTTTAGTTTGCGCTCTTCTTTAATTTGGTATATAATGACATTGAAATATCTTGCAGCAAAATTTCTTGACCAAGACTCGGGTGTAAATGTTAACAACTGAATTTTAGTTTTTTGATCACAAACAATTAACTTTTCTTTTCTTTTTGCTGTTAGTTTGTCTAGATCATCGCATTTACTTTTGTCAATAATTTTTGTATGAGGAATTTTATGTTTCAGTTCTTCTTCCCTAACATTATATACTTTTGAAATATGCTTTTTATACTTTGACATTGTTTTTATAACTTTACTTTTAAGCAACAGATAACTGTTGATGCTTTGGAATGCCATGAAGTTTTATGGGGGATACACCTAATTTTTCCAAACTAACACTTAATGCCTCTTGTTACTTTTCAGAAGTAGCACATGAATTCCTCAAATTCACAATTATCTTGTTCATGAAATTTACTGATTATAGCATCAAAGCAGCTTCGACAAAATTGATATCCAGGCACAACATTTGGAAAATTAATTCTCAATTGTTTTGCCATGTCTAATGTTATTACATGACTCCCTGAAATGAAAAGAACAATTTGATTTTAGTAATTACCTATGAATATGAAAATTGTTTGTACTTATTTCAATATATAATGCATAACCAGATCAGCTTTTTTTAAAACTTTTATAAACTAGAAGATTGTAATTTCATTATTCAATAAAGATTGTACAATAATTTTTTATCAACAATATTTACCTTTGATTGCTTTTCTTTTTGATTTAAGCTTGTACAATAAATTGCAACGTTTTGTGTGCTGCTTTTCAAAATGTGTACCAAAAATCTTTTCATGATGAAGGCAGATTGTTAAAATTTTATCATCTGTTATTCCAGATCTCCAAATAAATTCTTCTCTGGCACCTTCTCTATAGCAATCAAATTTCTTCAAATCAATCTTTCTACAATAACTTAGTTTATGACAAGTATCATTTAACTTTTTCCAAAATCACATGAATCCATTCTTACTGTAACGCTAAAAACATTTTGAGATTAATTTAAAAATGAGAAACCAATAGTAATTAATTTAATGAAAGCAACATAAGCAATCACCATGGTAATACAAAATGAAATAGTGATTGATTTCTTTTATCTTACTTTGACAAAAAGAAAGTTTCCTTTTTACAAAGTTTAATTATAATCAATTTGTTAATGTTAAAAATGTTAACAAGGTAACAAATTTCTTCTATACTAGTGTAATGACAGGATGTTTTTTGTTACTGTGAATAGTTCTTATTTAATAAAATAACTTGGTGTTAACATTTTAGAATTAGCAAATATCAAATAAAATAATGATTTTGAAAAAGTGATAAATTTCTTTTTTATTGATGTAATGTTATGACAGGATGTTTTTTTTCTGTTGGAAGTTAATTAAACAACTTGCTGTTACCATTTTAGCATTAGAATATATTAACCTTTTTTAATTAAAATTTTGAATTATACAAAATAACATTCTGTTAAAATCGTTATTTTAGACTGTTTTTAATCTTATACATGCAAATCAAAATTCTTATAAACATTAACTTTCTTTAAACATTTTAAGAAAGATCATCAACATAAAATGATCAAAAACCAAATGGAACAAATATAAATCGCAAAAATTTGTAAAGCAATGTTATCAAAGATATGTTTAACGTTGTTAAAAATGAAAATCTAAAAAAAACTATTGAAGACAATAGTTTAAAAGTTATCTTTAATGTGTTTAATTAAAAAAAAAAAAAAGTTTTTTTTTGAGAAAATATGTGGGGCATGGTCCCCAGCGCCCCAGTCCCATGGACCTTCTGGTCGTCTGACCTGAAATAATTTTAATGCATGTTCATCAAGACTACACAAATGTTGAATATTTCAAAGCTCCAGTTTGTCTGGAAGATACTGAAAAATCTATCTCAAGATTCCAATCAAAAAAGTAAGGTACATCTCTCCAGCCCCCTCCCCCAGCGTCTCGGGCCCTTTTTTTAATTTTAAAATGCATGTTTATTGACACTACATAAATACTAAAATTTTTATCGCTCCGGCTAGTCTGAAAGGTAGTGAAAAATGTATGGCAAGATTCCGCTACAAAATAGTGGGACATGTGCCCCATTATCCATATGTGGAAATCCATATACTCGCAGATCAATATCCTTATGTTTTCTAAAAGATCATTAAACAGAATATTGTGTACAATTTTTTTTTTATATATTATCAAGGCCACGTGGTTTTCTTAAGCATCAAAATTAGGTATATAAAAAATTGCCTAAATCTATTTAAATTGATAATTTCAATTGCTTAAAAATATTTTTTTACATTTCTGATTAATTCATTGGATTCTTTAACCCTGAAAATAGCCAGGTACACATTTTTAAGTCAAAAGATCAAATATTTTTAAAGCTATGTGACTTAAAACCTTTAAACAAAGGTCACGCTTTTGAGGGGACAAGAGGGGCCTGGGCAAGATCAGTTAAAAGAAAAATGAACATATTTCATGATCCTCTTGGAGCTAGAAGCTAAAATTTTCAAGAATTTTCTGTTTTACAAAGTACTCAGGCTTGGTCGAGAAGCGATAGCAATCGCTCTCGAATACTGACCATAGAAATTATATTTAGTTGCGAAAAACTGGCCAGGTTTTTTAGTCGTTTTGAGATTATTTAAATTTATTTACGAAACAAAAAAATTTTGTTTTACGGACATACATGGAAACATAAAAAACTTAAATGTTCTCAAAACATCTCGGTGCGAAAGAATAAAAAGAATATTCGCGAACACTAAAAACCCAAAAAATTAACAAACAAACTAACGAACAAACTAATTCTATTAGTTCAAAAAATACGCTGACTAAGCGAAATAAAATTTTGGAGCGTTTTGTTGAAATGTTTTAGTAATTATATTATTCACGATTTGTTACGTTTTCAGATTTCTAGCATAAATCGTTTTAAGAATATATATTGTTTACAAAAATAAATGTTTTAAATATATATATTAATTAAATTGTCAAAATTTTAAAAGTTTATTATAAATTATAGATTTTATTTGTACATCTTATTTTTTATTTAAAAAGTATGTATTCTTTATGTAAATGTAATTTTGTTGATCTGTTTTTTATCGTAATTTTAAACAAAGACTTACAAAAATAATTGCGTTTTCAAGGAAGTTGATAATTATTTAAGTTAATAAAACTAATTATTTAACAAACATATAAGAAGTTTCTGGTTACTAAACACAAACAACGCATACAAGTTACTCGTGGATGAACAAGCACCGCGCCTGAGGTCACGACAGAACACAAATATATATATAGCAAATAATTAGATATATAAAAAAGTTTCTAGATATTGGTTTACTAACTCTAATTATTTTCGCTTCATTTGCTATTCTTAAAAACTCGTTACACTTTTTTCTGCTTTAATTACTAATTAAAAAGCCCACTCACTAAACATCATCAGCGATATTGTGAAGCAGTTTCGCTTCCTTGTCATATTTTTAACCTTTTTAGTTGAGTTCTATTTTGTTAATTTAATGTCTATAGTAATTTAATGATTTAATTATTTCATTTGTTTATCTTACTAAGAAGAATTGCTTCAAATATGTTAAACTTTTCAAACTACGCCAAACATAAAATAGGTATTAATAAAAATTAGCTTTTTTATTTATAAAATAGTTTAGCTTAAATAAAACTAAAACTTGCAAACTTTGTTTAATAAAGAATATTTGTTTCCTTTTTAAACAATCGTAAGATGTTACATAAAAAATATTGCTTAATTTTATAAAAAAAATTTTTTAATTGTCTCTCATCGGTCCTATTAATCTTAAGCGCTTTTTTTTTTTGCGTGTTAAAATGTTCTCAAAACGACTAAAAAATCTGGCCAGCTTTTCGCAACTAAATATTATTTACGTGGTCAGCAATCGAGAGCGATAGCTCCTGCTTCCCGACCAAGCCTGAGTACTATTTCATGATCCGCTCGGAGCTAGAAGCTAAAATTTTCAAAGATTTTTTGTTTTACTAGATACTCTCAACTGTATAAAAATCAGCAAAATCTGAGATGTATGGTGACATGGCTTGGCTCAATTGACTCATAATATCTAGAAATATTAACATTATTTTAAAAGTCCAAATAATAACTTTTTATTTTCTTTTAGGTCTAAATTTTACAGAGCTTCTGAAAATTTGGAAAGGTTTGTTTTATTGTATGTGGTATTCTGACAAGCCACTTGTTCAAGTAAGTTCTAAAAATTTTTCTATTTGCTCTTCTAAAATTTTAAATTTATTTTCAATTTACATATGGTCATTAGGTAGATGTAAAAAGGTTTTTTCCTAACATCAGCTCAAAAAAAGAGTAATTTTTTCTTCATAGTTTTCAGACTTGTGGTACTCAAGGCTATGTAAGGTATACAAGGCAGTCAAGTTGGATATGTTAGTCAATAAATAAAAATATTCATGAAAGTATCAAGAGAACATAAATGAACAGATTTTTTTTATTTGCAAGATTTTGATAACAACTTATTTAAAAATTATATACTTACATTTAAAAAACTTTAGAATGATTTTTCTGTCTCATAGTTTTTTGGTTAGTTTTTTGTTTTGAATTTTTTTTTTATTAAATATGTATGTTTTTGTTTGTTTGTTTCATGTTTTAATTTATGTAGATTTTTAATTTATTAGATTTTGTCACCTCACCTAAAAACAAAGTTGAATTGTTTGCTAAGAACTTTTCGAAAAACAGGTTGATCCATTGCTTAACATTCGTATCACTCCAGCTTCTGTATCTAAAGTGATTTCCTGCTTAGACAACTTCTACAACTTGTGACAACATACCTGTTGTATTCTTGCAGAAGTGTTCTCCGGAGCTGTCGTTTTTACTTTCAAAACTATTTAACAAGTGCTTATCAGAGTTTTGTTTTCCGGCATGATGGAAAGCGGCATCTGTTATCTCTATTTCTAAAAATTTTGGAGAGCAATATGACTTGTATACCTACTATTCCATTAGTCTTCTTCCTATCATAAGCAAAGTTTTTGAATCTTTAATTAACAAACACTTAATCTCTCATCTTGAATCTATAACTTACTTTCTGATCATCAATATGGGTTTTGATCTTTCTTGTTCTAGAACTGATTTGTTAACAGTATTAACCGATAGGTTTTATTGTGCATTAGATAGAGGCAAAGAGATTAAGGCTATCGCTCTTGAAATTTTTAAAGCTTTTGATAAAGTTTGGCAGGGTGGTCTTCTCCATAAGGTTTCTTCTAACAGTGTATCAGGTAACATCTTTAAGAATATTGAATCTTTCCTTTCCAATTTTAGTATAAAAGTAGTTCTCAATGGACAATTTAAAATTTTCACATCCATTAACTTCAGGAGTTCCTCAAGGTTCTATCTTGGCCTTTATACTCTTTTTAATTTACATTAACGATCTTCCAGATATTCTCACATCTAAAGCGGCATTGTTTGCTTATAATACTTCCATTTATTCTTGTCTTGATAAGAAGCTAACACTCTCTGATTGCTTAGAGGGGGCATTTGAGCACTCAATGAGTCATCTACCCTTCATCTTGTCGGATTAAATCTTACTTCCGATCTTTCTTAGAAACCATATATCAAATCAATTCTAAATTATTGTCTGCTAAGGTTACATCTCTTTATCGTGCTTGACACTTTCTTACTTTGAATTCTATCTCTATAAATCTCAAATCTGTCCTTGTATGGAATACTGTTGCCATGTCTAGGGAGGATCTTATAATGATCCCTTTCTTTTTTAGATAAGTTGCAAAAATGCATTGTAAACATATTTGAAGCCAACCTCCAAGCATTATCACATCGTTATAATGTTGCTTCTTTTTCTCTTTTCTACAAATGCTATTGGGGGCTATGACTAATGACTATGACATCGTCCTCAAGTTTTATTTTAAAGTTGCAAAGCCTTTTGATTAGAAGTGAAACATACTTTTCCGCTGGCATAGACCTTAAAATGCGAATCAAACCTAAATTCCAATAACTTTTCAACTCGTGTACAATCACATTCATATATCTGCTATTTCCAAAAGAAGTCCACTCATCAAGTGTTAAGGAAAATTTAGAGCCTCTTGATATTTGATTAATTATTTCCTTTATAACTTAATTTTTAATCTGCTTGTAATAGTCTAAAACCATTTTTCTAATAGTATTACGTGATTTTGGGACATTTTTATAGCCACGTGCAACTAACCCAGCTCGTATATCAATAGAATTACAAACTGTACTAAATGATATTCCATCTTTTGCTGCCATGCGTGCATAAACTTTAGAGAGACTTTCTTGATTTTTTGATGTTGTTGAAAAATAGTTCGTGATTTTCGGTTTTTTATTTTGAGGTTCTTCTAATTCTTTTGAAGTAGAAGTTGTCGCGAATGAACTTGGTGCTTGAGATCGCGATGTTACTTTTATTATTTGAGATCGCGATTATACTTTTAGTTTATGTATGGATAGTAAATGAGAATGTAGACCTTTTGTTGAACCATCAGTGATTTTCAAACTTTTTTGCATGTACTTACCTTACACATGTCTGTTTCATCTGTTCCTTTTAGGTAATGTCTCCATATGGGATTTGTGCTGTTGAATTCTGTGTAGTTTGTCATGATATTCACATAAGTTCTAATTAAAAAAACAATTAGTATATTTTAACAATTTATATCTATTATTTCAACTTACATATTCTTTATCAGACTTATCATTCTAATTGAGTTTATGTAAATCCAATTTCTTCTTTGAATAACTATAAATATAGTTTATTTAATAAACTTTTTGTATTTTGATAACTTTATTAATTAAACGGACGCTAAGAAAATTTTGTAATTTAATAAACCTACTGTTTTTTGATAACTTTATTAATTAAACTGGCGTTAAAAAAACTTTGGTAAATCACGCACACATTTGAAATTAAAATTAATAGATATAAAAATGGAATTAAAATGAATGGTTATAAAAATGGAATTAAAATTGTGCACACATTTGAAAGCAGAAAAATCAAATTATGTTTATCGTATTTTTGCAGACAAGCAATAATATTTTGAGTCTTTGTTTTTAATAAAATACAGAAAGAGAACGTTTTAAAAGGAAATTATTGCAAAGAGAATAAACAGTTACACAACCAAACAGCTACTATACCAAAGACGATGTACAAATTACTTAGTTACAATTATAAGCTTAAACTTTATTAACTTTTTTTTTTTTTTTTTTTTTTTGACGATCTCGAACACCCAGGAAATTTAGGAGACTAATCCTGAGATTTCGGGATGAACAATTTGTTCAAAATCCGGGGATTTCGGGATCCCGGGATTGCCATCCCTATTTCCGACCTAGAACACTTTTGGTCAGCATAGCGGAATGCCAACCCTAATTCCAAGGACTGATATATATATAGTGTTAGGGGAGAGATATAAACAAAACTTAAAAAATAAAACAAAAATAACGAGTAGTCTCCTCAACATTTAATCAAAAAATAATAATGCTGAATTTAATAGCAGTAGTAGTAGTAGTAGTAGTAGTAGTAGTAGTAGTAGTAGTAGTAGTAGTAGTAGTAGTAGTGCCTCTTCGAGCGTATTTGACACGGAACTATTGGCAGCCATTGCAACCAAGATAATAGCAAGAAAGAGTTGCAGCATTTCTTATTTTTAATAAGAAAGTGTGAGCAAACATGTTTGCAAATATCTTCAAATTATGCAATGTTAAAACATTAAAATATATTAAGTTTTACTGTTATACTTTCACTTTAAAAGTGCATTGCGTCAACATCTCCTTAATTTTGATCTATAGCATTTGTTTCTGTTTTACATTAAGTCTTTTGTTTGTTAAATAATTTTTAAATTTTCTTATTCATATACAGACAATATATTACATTAAAATTATACAAATATATTTTACAAACAGATAACCATTTTGTGTTTTTGCTTTCTTTTTTTAAAAAAAATAATTTTAATAAAATCTAAAAAAATAATAATCATTCTTTTTAAAGTCGATTTAAAATGGTTTTTTTTAGTATTGTTGTTTTTTAGTTGTTTTAGTGTTATCCAATTTGGTTACTAAAAATAACCACTGTAAAGAAACAAAAATAAAAGCTGTGCACAAATTATTAAAATTATTATTTATTTTTTCTATTTAAATCAGAAATGAGGAGTTCAAAAAGGACTCCGACTGTCCAGAAGCTGTATACATGTTGGTTGATTAATGATCTGCTATAAGAAAAAAAGTTATGATATTTAATGACTTGGAACTTATTGTTCTTAAGTCTGGAGTCCCAGAGTCCTTGCCACCTAAAGACTCCGGGTTCAAAATTTGATTGTTCTTTTGACCTGTAAGTCTTGATTTTTTCCCCGTGCATGGTCATATTATATTATAATTCACTATATATCTATGTATTATATCCGTTGCCTGTAAGTTCTTGTATGTTTATTTGATCACTAGTTTTATTGAGTTAATGATAATTATTTTTTGAATTTCATTGAAAATGCAGTTGTTGTTGGAAGTCTTAGTTTTATAAAATTAATCGTACAAGCTGTTTTAAAAGAATTACATTTAATAATATATAATTAATCTGTATATGATTTTTTTATATAATTTTCATCTATTTATCTTCATATAATTTTTAACAAAACTCACTCAACTTTACACAACACAAAAAAAAATGTCCAATATTTTTGTATAAATATTAAATTTTTCTAGTTTTTTAGTTCACATTTTACAATAATATGAAATAATAATATTAAAAGTTTTTTTAATAATATAAAATTATAATAAATTATAAGTAAAACTATAATATATTATAAATATATTAATTTTTAAAAGCATAATAAAAATAAAAATTTTATAATTTTTTTTTTTCTAGGAAGAGCTTGCAGCAAATTTAGCAAATCTAATTCACATATTTAATAGATCTTCAAATAATGGTGCTTCTTTATTTCTAATACATAAATTAGTATTAATTTTACGATTTTCATTTGTGTTTATTTTGTGATATTTATAACTTGAATGTATATATTGCATGTATATATCGAAGTTATTTTAAATAATTTAGTTTTGAATTTTGGCTAGATTTCTTTAGATGACATTTAAATTTTTTTTAAAAGTAGTTTTAACTAAAAGCCACCTTGTTTCATTCACCTTCTTAATTTCTATCAATACAATTTTAATTTATATATGATAGCAATATAATTTGAATCTATATGATATAGATCATTAGAAATGAATAAGCTTTTTCTAAATAAGTGCCACATATACCACCATTTTCAAGTAGTGTCATTTCTTTTTGAATTTTTGATGTCTGTGTAACTGATTGGTGATTTTCCTTTTTTAATAATGCGATCAAGTTCGCTTCAATACTTAAAGGATTACTTACAGACTCAGGTACCATTGAGTCTGTAAGTAATCAAATTCAGGTGCCTGAGTCTGTAAGTAATCAAATTCAGCATATCAGAATCAACTGACCCTCTTTCTAGAGCAGGATTGGAAGCGTTTGATCTCTCCAGAATTTTTACCAAAAGTTTTCGACATTTAAATGAAGTAAACACTGTAATTATTTTACCATCTATAATGGAGCTTTGACCATTACGCAGGTATTGCAGAAGTCTATTCATATCAGTTCAGCGTTCACGCATACCATTGCAACTACTCATATTTCTTTACCTGTTTTATTGTCAGCATCTTTTAATTTTGTAAGCATAAAATTAAGAGCTATGGGTGTAAATATTTTAAAATCATGGCGACAAAGTGCTTCAACCATTGCTCGTATGGGAACTTAAACTGTAATAATATCTGATAATATTGTCAACTCATCATGTGACAGAGCTATAGAATTATCTTGGACTAGGTAAATATTAATTAATAATTTTTGTATACAGTTTTTCACTTTGTAAAATAATTTAAGCATTAACAGAAGGCTGCTCCACTGTGTCTTGCAGTTTATTATTAAAGACAGTTGTTTTTTAAACTCAGCCTTAATATATTTTTGTAAGATGTTGTTCTTGGTAGGTGATTGTCTAAATATTAGTATCAATTACTGTATTTTTTTATGACTGGTCCATAATGAAATTCATTTAGTTCAATTTTAGGTCTTACATTTTCATGATTGTAGCCCAGTAAATCTACCTTATTTTTTTAATTCCCTCCATCCCAGAGAAATTATTTGAAAAATCAGCGTTATTTTGCTGAAAAAACAAAACAATATTTCCAATATTGGGTGCCGCCCAAATTAAGGTCCTCAAACCTTAATTTGGGCGGCACCCAAAAATGCTCGACGCTGTCAAAAATGGTCTAGAATATTCCCTGTATATGTGTGTGTGTGTGTGTGTGTGTATATATATATATATATATATATATATATATATATATATATATATATATATATATATATATATATATATATATATATATATATATATATATATATATATATATATATATATAGTAAAAATATGTTTTATAAAAAAATAAACTATTAATTCAAAAAACATTCTATTATATTACGGTTTTTTGAAAAACAATGAAACTTAATGTTCTTCTGCATTATTTTAATTGTTTTAACTTTTGGATGACATTAAAATGTAGCTTAATTGTTGAAGTAACTTAAATGTTGTTGATAGAGACTTTTTTACCATAAAAATCTCTTTTGACGTTGATATAAGGATATATATATATATATATATATATATATATATATATATATATATATATATATATATATATATATATATATATATATATATATATATCTTTAAATATATTTTAGGAATTCTTTTTTCAAAAGTCTTTTTTGTTACTATTGGCAGAGAATGGATAGGTATTGATCGATTGAGGCTAGACAAATTCTATTTTGTAAGTAAATATTGATATTATTTTTATGTTTTTTTTTTTTATCATGCCAACTGTTGTTGTTTTAGCATTATTAGATAAGCTTATATTTAAGTTTAGGTAATACAAATTTTTTGTTGACCTATAATTTGTATTTTTTTAATTGATTGTACTTAAAAATAAATTAGAAAGTAAAAAATATTTGTTATAAAACTGTTATTATGAAATATAAAAGAATTTTAACCCTTTATATTGAGATCTTTGTGCATAGTAAAACTGTGAATCAAATATGATTATGACTAATTACTATTTTTATTTTATGTTAATTAGTACACTGGTAGCTAGGCTACTTATAATCATAAATACCCATGTAATGGGTATTTATGCTGCTCATGAATGCTTAATTTTATGCTGCTCGTGAATGTTGTGTTCATGGGCATTTGATATATCTAGACAAATCAAATACCCATGTACATTTCTGCAGTCACATTACTATGATGTTTATTGCAGTAATGCAACAAGTTTACATAATACTAATAATGTTAATATTTAAATAGAAAATAAAATAGTATACAATCACTTTCAATATCATATAAATGTTTTATTTGTATATGAATCAGTGTTTTTTAAAAGGGTTGGTTTTAAAAGGGTTGCTCAAAACTTCTTGAGCAAATCCCCCTTTTTAAAAAACACTGATTCTCATGACAATAACAAATAAAGTTCAAAAGATAAAATTGTCTTTTATAACAGAATTTTTTTATAAAGAGTTTTTTGATTTAGCTCATCAAACTTTTTATTCATGAAACTTTAAAATGCTTGCAAAACTTAGAATGGAATTATCAGTAAGTTTTATATTTTCAGTTTGTCAAATTTATTTTTTAAAAACTTGTTTTTCAAAGTTTTGTTTTATATATTTTATATTTATATATATATATATATATATATATATATATATATATATATATATATATATACAGTGTGCGAAATTCAAAGTATTTCAGGTTGGCACACGCGTGCCGCCCTTCTCCACATGTGTTTAACATAACTATTCCAAGATTAAACTTTCCTAATAGACTTTCTGATCTTAAATAATATTTGAAAAACCGTTAACATAAAAATGACGGTTTTAAACATGAAACATAAAAAAACAATTTTAACTAATAAAATAAAATAAAATTAGATTTTAAAACCTAATAAAATAATAATTGCGCTTAAATAGCGATTAAAAAAGCGTGAGAACAACAGGCATTAAAAAGTAATATTTTTTAACTTTCAAATGAATCTTTCTATGCTTGAATAAATTTGAGAAAAAAAGAAAAAATGAATTGAAAAAAATTAACGAATTTTTGTTTTAATAAAACAAAAATTACGTCAAACTTAAAAAGCAAGTAATTACAAGAAATAAATTATAAACTAATATTTAACGAATATTATATGTTTTTTACATGTATTTCAATTTGTATGCTGACACTTTAGGATTTTCAGGTCAGCAGTTGTATGCCGTTTTAAAGCAAAGATAGGTCGGCTTTTGCCGAATGCTGACTTTTCGCAGACTGTATATATATATATATATATATATATATATATATATATATATATATATATATATATATATATATATATATATATATATATATATATATATATATATATATATATATATATACATACATATATATATATATGTGTGTGTGTGTGTGTGTGTGTTTGTGTCCTTGGACTTAGGAAAAATGAAGTCGGCAATAATTTGTCGACCTCAATCTTTTTAAGGTCGGCAAAAATTATTTGATACAAAGATCTGCCCATAAAACATAGAAACGAGGTTGACAATTTTTTGTCTACCTCAAACACTTTCAGGTCGGCATTGCCGAATGCCGACCCTAATTCCGAGGGTTGTATGTATATATATATATATATATATATATATATATATATATATATATATATATATATATATATATATATATATATATATATATATATATATATATATATGTATGTATGTATGTATATATATATATATGTATGTATATATAATGCAAAAATTGTGCCTGTTTATTATCCAATGAATAAAATTTTTTTGACTTTACATTTTTCATTTTAGTTACAATCATAATTAAACTTTTGAGAGAAAAAATACTTTTGCCAGAGCTGTAAATTGTTCCTGTAAACCTTTTTAAAATCTTAGCAGGAAGCGAGAGCTAAAGGTCTTGCTTCCTGCTAAGGCCTGATATATATATTTCTGTTTTATTTTATGAAAATATTTAAATTATTTTATTTTTGAAAATTTATATGTATATAGATTTATATACTGTAATATTTTACTTTATTTTTATTAAGAAATTTAAAATCAGTTTATTTGATTTTTCAAATAACAAAATTAATGTAAAAGTTAATTATTAATTTAAAAATATATTGCTAGTTTTTTAGTCATTTGACAATCAAAACCAGAAAATTAATTATCTGCTCCAATGCTCCTTTAGTGTCTAAGGGGGTAGTAAATTATCAGTGATTCTGTTGGCCATAATAACTGTTGTTTGGTTGCTTTTTATGCAGATGGTACAATAATGAAAGTTTTGTGAATGTGATTTTGTTTGCTTTTTATTTATTAAATAAAAATTTAAACAATATCCTTACAGAAACGTTTTGCAACACAGCAAATTTCTCAATGAATGTTTTTTAGATGAAAAGGTATGTCTTGTTTGTTATTATTTTTAGATATGCATATTTTTTTCTGTTTGTGGTTTAGTTTTACCAAAACAATTTTTTTTATATTTAGTTTCCAGATAGCTTAAAAATTTATTTAACAGAGAAGACACTTCCTGAACTTTCTGTTTTAATTGACAGCAGCGATAAGGTTACCTTATTTTTTATTCTAATTTTTTTATGAAGATAGGTTTAAAAATTAAATTTCATACATTCAAAGATTAAATTTCAACATTCAAGTAAAAATTTGATTTTAACAATTTTTTAACAATTGCAATAGAACACAAGAGTCAAAATCATATAATAAATCTAAAATATGCAGTAATTAGAACATTTTATACGTCACATCAGTTTTTTTGACACTAAGAACTGTTGGGGTTTTAAATATTTATGTTAAAAGTTTTTCACAGATTTTATTTAAAAGTTCTTTTCTCACTTTTCCAATGCTATATTGCACTTTTTAAAGTTTGTTTAATACCTTTTTAGAATTTAACTATTTAAAGCCACAACTTATTCATTTTTTAAAACTTTGATCAAATTTTTAATGTTAATTTTTTCAACTATGGTCAAAATATGCTGTTTCCTTGGCAAAATCCAACTTGTTGTTCGTATCTAATACTCAATTATAATCATTTTATCTGTGCTTCGTGTATTAGATATTCCATGAGAAAATAGATCAAATCTTTTAGTTATGTAATCCACCATATCAGATTTGTTTAATGCTTTGTTAGAGTTATGGCCTATTAAGTAAAGATTACCTTAAAATCAGTTGATAAGTTTAATTAAGAATAATAAAAATATAAAATACTCCTTGCCCTCTCCTTTGACATAGGGAATTCAGTTTTATTCATTGGCCAAGAAGGGATAATTATTTTTGAATTCCTTAACATATCCTAAATATGTTTAAAATACTGTCATCTTCATCAGCATGTGACAAATAGATACCAGGAGATTTGTCTAAAGTTTAGTTTTTATTTTTTATTTGCCATAATAGTACGATTTTTATTACAGGAAGTTAGCATTGACAAAATAATATTATGCATTATCTATGAATGACAAAGCATAAACGTAATAGCAATATATGTATAAAACTTTATACAATAAATAAAAACTTTGGTGTAAAAACAAGATAACGTCATTTTCACAAATTGTTCAGGAAAAAAACTAATTAATTTTAATAGCAGGGAATAAACAGTAGAGTGTAATGGTGGAGAACTTGTCTCATAAGTCCCTGGTAGTACTGCGCTCAACTTGTTTATCCACGTAGTGGCCTCGTTTGTTGAGGTTTGTGTTTCTGAATTATAGAGTTGAGAGAGGGTTGTAGCCTTCTGGACTGTATTGGCCTTCTTGGCCTTGGGGAGGTAAATAATTTAAAAAAAAAAACAGATTTGTCACTAAAATCACACGTGCAATTGCATAAGTAGTGCTCAAATTTTTTTTTTTTTTTTTTTTTTTTTTTTTTGCACCAGCAAACCAATACTCCATTTAAACCTGAAAATCGACTAAAGGTGAATTTACATTTAAGGTGAAAAACATAACAAAAAGAATGCAAAGAAAACTAGTGTGGAAACCATTGAAAAAATAAACATTCTGATTCTTCATCTTATTGACTATGCAGGTGCATAGTTAATAATATATATATAATATATTATTAACGTATAAATTTTATATAAATAGATAGAGAGATAAATAGATTTATATATATATATATATATATATATATATATATATATATATATATATATATATATATATATATATATATATATATATATATATATAGATATATAGATATATAGATATAGATATATAGATATATATACTTATGCTTTCATACACATGCAAACACAGTTTATACAAAAATTATCTAACCATCTAATATTTATAGTGAAAAATGGTTTTTGTACTGTTTAGTGTACATATTTTTTACAAGAAAATGTTTTAATTCAAAAAATAACATAAAAGAATAAGTCACAGTATAAAACATGTTTTAGTACTTTGTTTGAGCTCCTCAAACTAGATGCTAGACATTGCTTAACAGAAGGTGCAGGGTATCAGGGATTGAAGCATGAGTTAGGTGGTAGCAAACATAGACTTTGTGCTTGCAAAGTGCTTAACTTTCACTTTTCTGAGAACACCATCCACTGCTTTTACCGGTCTTATTTATTTTATATTTTTATAAAATAAATAGGACTTATATATTTTGTGTTCTTCGCAAAAATTTTGGTGATCACTAATATGTTATTAAGAAAGGTGTGGCTAATTCAGCACAATACAATCAAAGATTAAAGTTCAAACTGTGCAAGCACTAACATTGACACTAAGAGGCAGTTGATTCTAAAGTTGCGAGCTTGAAATTTGTTTGTCTTTTACAACCCAAATTGCATATCGTGTTGGTATGGTAATGGTAATTGTTAGTCTTTCATAGGATTTTTCTGGGTTGATGCCATCTTCTTTTTTTTTTTTTTTTTTTTTATTTTACTTCACCTCCTCAAGGCCGAGAAGGCCACTACAGACGAGGAGGCTACTTATTTTGTGGCTATAACCCTCTCTCAACTCTATAACTCCGAAACACGAACCTTGACGAACAAGGCCGCTGCGCAGAGAAACGAGTTGAGCGCGGTACTACCAGGGACGTGGTGGGGATCGAACTGTTGACCATTGTTAAGTTATACCTTGTTTAATTTGATAGTGCCTAAAAGTTGAAATAAATCTTCCAAATATTTGTTGTTTTCTGAATACTTTCTGGAGTTTTGGATCAATAATAGGCATCCAAGGTAGTTTAATGAACTGTTGTTTATCTAATTGTTGAGATATGGTGTTATTTGAACCCCGTCTACATAGTCTTTAACTATTTTAATAAGATGACTTTTTTTATAACAGTTTCATAACAGAAAAATGTATTTATCAGGAAATCAATTTTTTGTGGATGTTTTTCAGAGCAGATTATTATTGCCCTACATAAAAAATCTTTAAAGACGTCAGTGATAATGCTTGGGTTGATGTTAAAGTTTTCATTTATTTGAACATTAGTTATCACATTTCCGGTGAACTTGTAACTCATAAAATCCATTCACTTTACAACTTGTGTGTCAATAGTTAAAACTATTGTTTGTATATCACTTATTATTTTTGACAGTCTTGACAGAGCTCACTCTGTCACCTATTATCACTTTTATGATTTGCTTGATAATTGCTTATACTGTATTAGCCAAAATATTATTACCTAAAAAAGTCATATATATATATATATATATATATTTATATATATATATATATATATATATATATATATATATATATATATATATATATATATATATATATATATATATATATATATATATATATATATATATATATATAAATATATATATATATAAAACTATGCAAAGTTGTCATCTATTAAAATATATTTGCAGATGCCAAAGGATGATGTATTGGTGTTACTTGTTGAACCATTTTTAACTGCTATTGCTTTTACATTAAGGTAATTTCATAGATTGTAAAACAAAGTTACTAACTGCTGAAGTTGTTGTTTTAGTTTTAAGGGGTTTTCTTGAAATAATTCAAAGTTGTTAAAAGTAATATCATATATAAATATCTCATTACTTTAGTGATTCAGTGTTTAAAGCTGTTCGTGAAGAAGTTTTAAATAAAATTGAAGCTCTCGAAAATATTAAAGTATAGTTTTGTTATAAATATATTAAAATAGCTTTAAATTTAAAATTTTTTTAAACAGTTTTTTTTTTATCTCTTTTTTCTTTTCTTTTTTTAAAGATGCCCTTAAAGTTAATAGCTGATCGTCTTACTACTTTGGCAGCTGAAAAAGCTGTTAAAACAAGGAATAGAAAGGTTTTACATATATATGCTAGAAGGTAAGTTTTCACAGTTATAAATATTTGAGAACACTTTAAAGACATTTTTGAATGATAATGACCCGTAGATGGTTCTCAAATATATTTTTAGAACTTTAAAAAGAAAGTCGAGTCAAACATATTTTTTAAATTTAAAAGAAAGTCAAGAAACTTTTAAAGAAAGTTTTTTAATTCTTTAGAAAGAAGTTTTCAACTTGATCAAAAAGTGATCAGGGAATCGATGTTTGATGTCCAGAGTTCTCTGTTTGATGTCCAGAGTACTGTGTTTGATGTCCAGAGTACTGTGTTTGATGTCCAGAGTTCTCTGTTTGATGTCCAGAGTACTGTGTTTGATGTCCAGAGTTCTCTGTTTGATGTCCAGAGTACTCTGTTTGGGATATCAAAAAAATTGGATTTCCCAAGTTATTAATCCAATAAGTCAAAAAAAGATTCCAGCTCAACAATTTTATATGACCCTGAAAGGAATGAAAAAAGTTTGCGAGAAATTTATGATTTTGCAAGCCGTCTGTTTTTGTGGTTTCAAAACTCAGCTTTTTTTCACAAACTTTATTATGTATATATATATACATATACATATATATAGCACTAAATTGAGAAAATATTGTGATCAGCTCGAAGATGAGGACGAAGATTTTTAAAAAATTATTGTACTTAAAGATATATTTGCTTTAAAATATATATTAAGTGTGGTTCCTTAAATATTTCAAAATTTCTCGAGTGGTTCTCGAAATATTTCAAAAATCATGGGCCATTATCATTCCAGACAGTCTTTATATATATACGCACGCATGCACACACACACACACACACACACACATATATATAGAAATATATATGTATATATATATATATATATATATATATATATATATATATATATATATATATATATATATATATATATATATATATATATATATATATATATATATATATATATATATATATGTAATATATATATATATGTAATATATATATATATGTAATATATATATATATATATGAAATATACATATATGTAATATATATATGAAATATACATATATGTAATATATATATGTAATATATATATATGTAATATATATGATAAATGCACACACACACACATACACACATATATATATATATATACATATATATATATATATATATATATATATATATATATATATATATATATGTTTAAATTTTAAGGTTCCATGAAGCTGATTCTGTTGAAGGTAATTTGATATATATAGTCACAACAGTGAATTAGGAAACGTTGCTGATTATGTCATATTGAAATTGCCGTCTGTGGGGTTCTCTAACTCACACACACGCTATTGAGTTACTTAAATATGAATAAAAAATACAGTTTTAATATTTTCACTGTTAAATTTTTCTTTTATTTGATTTTTTCATAAAGATTAGTTTTTTTTAGGTACTAAAAGTAAATTAAAGAATAAAAGTGAAGAAAGTGTGATTTTAGAGCAGCCTATTATTAAGAAGAAAAAAACAGGAGACACAGAAATGTGTAATGATGTTAGTATGCAAAAGTCAAAGAAAAAGAAGAAAAAGAAAAAGAAACTTTCTCAAGTCGAAAGTATTAGTACAGAGTTAAATAATAACTTAGAAAAGTGTTCCGATGATAAAACTAATAGTTTTACTGAAACGAATATAAACATTGCACCTACTTCTAATGAAAATGATAATAGTTCTTGTCATGTTAATGATCATGCTCCTCTTATTAGTTCTTCCAGTTTTGCCTCACAGAGTAATTCCATTAGCCTTCCTCCTTTAACTAATACTATCAAACCTGCTCTACAGCTTGACTCGAATAGTCCTGTTCAAGATGTTGATTCTACTGATATTGCTATGCAAATTGAATCTGAACATTCAAGCGAGAAGTTAACCTGCTTAGTTAACGATACGGTAAAACAAAAATTAGATTTTATGTCAGATTTCGAACTTGCTGATAATCAGCCAAAATCTGAGTCAGCAGATGATACTGCCACAAAAAATTCACTTCAAACACCGACAGATATTACGAATGAATCAAACATAAATAATGAAATTATTTCGGAAGATCAACAATTGTGTCACTTAGTTGACCAGTCTATTGAAAATGACGACGATAAAACTGAAAAGACTTCTCAAAACATAATGAAAGACTCTGTAGAAAAAGAATTAAAGGAAGTTAAAAGGGAGCGTAGAAGTTTACGAAAAAAAAACAATGAGAAAGGCTCGCCTAAATCGTCAGTTACTTATATAAAAACACCTGTAACAAAAGCATTTCTTAATAGACAGATGCGAACAATATGTGGAAAAATTAAAAATGAGACAGATACAACTTCGGTTAGTTTTATGTTCTTTGCCGCTCATCGTTAAATTGTTTTTTTTGTTTTGTTTATTCTAAGTATATTGCTTAGTAAACTATACAAGGGAAATGCAGTCCAAAAACATCATTTTGCGATAATGAACAAATAAGTTGCGTAATAGCTAAAAAAAATAAGTTTTTGTACAATTGTTGAAATAAAAATTTTAATAACTGATTAATAATTGATTTATTAAATTTGTGTGTTAAATCAAACGAGATAAAATTTAAAATACTAAATAGTGTGGTATAAATAATTCCATATTGCTAAAAATGTATTTAATGCATTGCCCTTGTATACCAACGATATTAATGTATATTATTGAATTTTCATCCATTTAGACGGATTTCACGACTCCTCAACCTGAAAAAAGAAAAGTTCGAATAGAACTTTCAAAAAATATGGCTGTAGGTAAGTAAGAAAAAGTAAATAAGTTTCGTAAATAAGTGTATATATGTATATATATATATATGTGTGTGTGTGCGCGTGCGAAGACCTCAGCGTCTTCACATACACACACACACATATATATATATATATATATATGTGTGTGTGTGTATATGTATGTATGTATATATATATATATATATATATATATATATATATATATATATATATATATATATATATATATATATATATATATATATATATATCAGGAAAAATCAGCGTTGTCACATTTTAAAAGTTTTGAGAAAATATCTATTGATCATTAATAAAAGTCTTTATATAAAGCAACAAAAAAATGGAATTTCTTATTAAATTAATATAATTTTTTTTTATAATAAAACTTTAAATAAATTAATCAAAATATTGTTTTTTTTTCTCATCTTTAATTTTCTTTGCCTAATATAAAAACTTTTATTAAGGATCAATAAATTCTTTTTCAAAACTTTTTAAATGTGACAACGCAGGTTTTTTCACTGAGGTCTTCATATATATATATATATATATATATATATATATATATATATATATATATATATATATATATATATATATATATATATATATATATATATATATATATATATATATATATGCATTCTTTAGGTCACAAAGAATTAAAGATTAGTCCTTTACCAGCCTTCAATCCTTTACTTCAACCCAATAAAAGCGCAATGAAAGTTTACTCGACACGATCTAGAGCCAAAGCTTCGGATTTTATGTGAAATATGATTTTGCTATATGGAGTTGAATGTATATAAAAAAAGGCGCATATTTTTATATCGTAATTAGAGCTGTTAATGAGCTAATTTTTAAATTTGACTAGTTCGACGCAGGCTTGTTTGAATTTTATGTCTCGGATCTTGGTCACTTATTATCCAAATACGGGCACATTGGGGCGAGTGAAAAAGTACATATGCGACTAAAAGATAGAGCAAAATATACATGCATCTACAATTGAGATTTAGTTAAAACGACTGTTTTGTAGTTTTTTAACTTTCCTTTATTTTAAAAAGTTTTATTTTTTCTTTGAATCTTTTCAAAATTCTTACATTATATTCCTAGCCTCCTGAGTTTTCTTTGATACTTCGTTGCGTTGGTTTGACAAAGTTCTAACTGATCCGTGAGTAGTTTTGAATAAACCGATGTCAAAATTGTTTTGTCCTTACCATAAAAATTTATTAGTATCAACTGATAATATTTTTCACCTATGATAACATAACCATTGAAGTATCACTATTTGTAACTAAAAAATGTTTTACTCTTCATTGAAAAATAAATACCCTAAAAAAGCTGTTAGAACCTTGTCATAGTGAACCTAGTCATAGCTTCACTATGACAAGGTTCTAACTGCGTTTATAACAATAGTTGAAAACATTTTTGCTACTGTTAAATTTTTGTAATTGAAACTAAATTATAATAAGGGGCTGTTCAAATAATACGTGACACTTTTTTAGGCATTTTTAGAGAACCCCCTTTCCCCTATGTGGCATTTTTTAAAACTCCCCCACCCCTGTGTGACAGACAAAAGTTTGGAATTTTCACAAGTGTCTATTTAATTGTAACAGTTCATATTAAAATAAAATACAATTGACATGTTTCTGTTTAAGAAACATGTTCTAAATTTGTTCCCAAATTCGACTTAAACCTTCAAGTATTGGAGTTCCATGCTCTTCAATAATTATTGAAGGCCAGTTGAGATCAGAGGTATATACAACGTCCTGATCATGCCATTTAATTGTTTCTTTGCCTGAATTTAAAAAGACGCACATGAGTTCAGATAGACGCAACTAGGCGATGGGGTTTAACTTTTTGAATCTCATTCGATAATCCAATACTTGAGAAAACTGTTTTGTGCTGTTTCATTGATTTGATAGTGGCAAAATATAGACTACAATTGGTACAAATTCTTTTTGGTAAGGAACTTTGAATGCTCGGACATAAGTAGTCGTATGGCAATCCTTTGGGAAACTTTTTTGTAATTGTCTTGAGAAAAATTGTTTTGCTTAGTGATAAGTTTAAAAAGAGGCTTGCAAAGTTATTCTTTGTATTATTGCACTCAAGGCCATTTTTCTTCTTGGAACAAAGAAATTGGTGGAGGAAGAAAACCAGTTGGAATAAGATGGAACAGTGAGCTGCGATGATGACCACAGCAGTTTTGATCATTACATTTTACGATTTGAAGCAAGTATTGACTTTCTTTGACATGTTTAGCATACATGCTAAACATGTCATTGTACTCGATTTTCACCCGCCATCAACAATTATAATCATGACTGGTTTGCTAACTCCATCTTCAGTAAATAAACTGCTTTCAAATGCAGGAAGATGGTTGATTCTATTAATGTCTTCTAAGTGCTGTTGATGAATCATGTTTTGCACTTCTGATTGCTATGTATGTTGGGCCAGAGTATGTGACTCCTTGTTTTTCCATACAATCTTTTTTGATTTCTATGGCTGCAATTACTGAAGGAATAAGTTTGTGTTGAGGAGCTATTACAAAATCATGATCAGCTAAAGTCACCTTGTACTCCATATGCATCATGATTGGTGCTTGTTTGTTTGCAGCTGTCAATCCAATCGGCACCCTAGCTTTATCATCCTGGGAAAGAAATGTCACTTCTTTTGGACCCAAGACTGCAGCAAGTTCTTCAAGGGCACTGATGAATGATTTGGCAAATTTTGTGTCTGCATGATATTTATGCTCAGAATTTTGTGCTCTTATTAGTCTGCCAGGTGCAGTTTTAACATGTCTTTTTCCTTCTGTGCTCAATGATCTGCTTGGAAGTAATCTTAAGTAAAATCCTGATCTGGAGAGATTGTAACCATGGTTTTTTAATTCTTCAACCAAGTCATCTAATGTTTTTACTGTTCGAACAATTTCAGTTCTTCTCCTATCATCAGAAGCAGAACCTTTCAAGGCAATATCTACAATCATTTTAATTAAACTGCCCTGATCACAGGCTAGCGGTCGACCTTTTGATACTGCATTTTTAATACCACACAACGTTTTTCTATTATCCGGATTTAAAGCTTCTATTGCTTTTTTTCTTTTTAGCCTGGTTGCTGTTTGACGTTCAGTGGCTTTTTGACGAAGTACAAGATCTCGGTTTTTTTCTATCGAAAGCTTTTGTTTTTGTCTTAATATATGGTGGTCCTCTTGTGTTGCAGTTTCTTTTTTCAGTAAAATATACAATTTGCAGATGCAATTTCTTTTTTCAGTAAAATATGCAATATCTTTTTGTAAAATAAAAATTTCATTCTTTAACTGATCTTGTTTTGGCGCAGGTCTTTTTAAAACTTTTAACGAATTGGAGTTTTCTTGTAAGCCTTTACTATTTGTAATCGATTGGGTTGCATCAGTCAAGTCATCAAAAGTGATTTTAGATTCAATCACAAGCTTTTTTGGTGTACAGTTTTGTAACTTTGTCCAGTAAGATAAAATACCAACTTTATTTCGAAGTTTAATTTGCTTTAGTTCTTTCAATTTTTTTTCAACTTCTACATTTATATCGAGTAATGTTTTGCTCTTTGTTTTGATCTCAGACCAGATTTTATTTGTTTCTTCTTGAAACTTTTGCTTTAGTTTGTTTGCAAATGCTTTTAAATATCCTTCATAAATAGATTTGTAAAGTTGTTCCTTTAATCAAATTCAATCATTTATCAAAAACAAATTTTTTTTTTTAAATGACAGTTAAACAAAAAACGCTCGCTATTCGTGAAGTCGTTGCATATAATTTTTCTCGAAATCAGTATTATATATAAATACCTCCGAGTTTGCAATATAAACTAATTTAATTACTTAGTGATAAACAATTTAATTTAAAATGTTTTTTGTCACGTCACATTCAGGCAAACCACCCCTCCCCCATGTGACATTTAGTGACACTTTCTAATACTCCCTCCTCCTCCCTCCTCCCTAAAACTGTCACGTATTATTTGAACAGCCCCTAAACAGTAAATACCATATCTAACAAGATTCTACCGTTATATTATACTGAAACATTACATTATGGCTGAAAAACTTTTCATCGCTTCCTGTCACTTTATAGGTGAAGAACCATTGGTTAATAATCTTGGTCCTTAAGAGGCAAAATAGAAAATACAGTCTTAAATTGAGTTTAAATTTTTGGTTAAACATTCAAAACTCTAAATATTAATGGGACAATGGCGCCATTTTTTCTGTTATGTGTTTTCATTAAAGTGGACGTAAGCACAAGAGTCTTTTTGACGATGAGGATTTTTTCTGTTAACTTGTTTGAGGCTCAATCAAACAAGTTAACAGAAAAAATCCTCATCATTAAAATCAATATAAGTGGACTATAAAAATCAGCTACCTTTGTAAGCTTTTTAGTTTAATTATGCGCATGATCCACTTTCTGGACATATAAATGACTGGGAAGTAAGTATTTTGTAGTAACATTAATGACTAGAAAGTATTTTGTAATGTAATACACTATTTGATATTATACTGTTCCGATTTTGAGGGACGCAGCAGTCAGGCCAAGTAATTAAGTTGCTCGTGTTGCTTTTTCTCTACCACAACATCCAATATCTTACAAAAAGCACTAGAAAATGCTTGTCGCTAATGTCCACCATTGATTTCATCCATAATGCTCAGTATTGTTGTTTGGTTTTTGTATAATATGCTGCCAAGTTAACCACACTTTGTTTTCTCTCATAAAAAATAGTTTCATTTCCAACATTGTTATCTTAATTTAAAGTACTTTTAAAAGTCTTTTTAGATCATTTTAAAAATCTTTTTTGTTTATATCACAGCCTGCTTTTTAAGATAGCTAATAAACATTTTATTACAAATTGTTCAATTTTTTTAATATTACTAATGTAGTAAATTAAAATTATGTTATTTTGTTCATCAACTATATTCAAAATTATACATTCATTAACTGACAGTTAGAGATAAACGATGGGTAATAAATAAGAATGTATGACCGTTGGGGGCTAGTCACAATTAAACGTCTTTACATTGACTAACTAACAGTAAGTTTGTGTAAAGACTGAATTGTCATGATTAAAATTTTAAGAGTTTTACCTAATAAAAGTCATTTAATTTTGTTTTTAATAGATATTTCAACGCTGATAGAAACCAGTACTTTTTGTTGAGCAATATAGTGTTAAAAAAAAGATTTCGCAAAAATAGCAAATGTTAGCGTTTTTGTGATAAATTTTTTTCATTTTATTTAGTTCATCAGCGTCAAACTAGAACACTATACGTTGATATTGAGACCAATGTGTCTAAATGATTTTCAATGAGAATGAAATTATCATAAAATATTTAACTGAAAAAAAATTGAAATAGTCTGCAATTAGGGTTTACCCTAACCTGTTCGTTGGAGCCTTGTCAAACTAAACATTAGTTAACTTGCAGATAAAACTTTGGCATATTAGTAGTTCGCTTATTTTACTCTAGATTGCAGTAAATTTTAGCTTATTTTGTTTTTATGAATCATAAAAAGAAAGTATAAGACAAGCATACGGTGTTGAAAGTCCAGATTTTTTTGGTTCTCCATATTAGTCTTTTCTGACGACACAGTTGTTCAGAAGCTGAAAATTGGTTCTACATCTTTTTAGCTTGCATACATATTCCAAAAATAATTTTTTTTTATAAAAACAACTGATATTGAACCTGTCTATTTTAAATCACAATGGTTTGTTAATTTAAATATCGAATCTGTTTATATTACATCGCGTTTAATTAAATTAACTATCAAGCTTGCCTATTTAAAACCACGACGGTATAACATGACTATCGAACTTGTAATGGCCTACTTTATTTATAAGGTCAGATATTTTGCATTATGAAGAAAAAAATAGAAGGCCAGTTTTCTTGTTATGTGTTTTTAAGGATACAGCTTTGGAATTTCATAGAGTGTCGTTAACAAATGTTCCATTGTGAATTGTCGTTCAAATTATCATAATTATGGTAAAGTATCTATAGTAGTATTTTCGTTTCCAAAAAATGAAGAGTTAAAAAAAAAATTGAATTAAATTTGTAAATAGAAAAGATTATTAC